CACACACACACACACGCACACACACACACACGCGCACACACACACACACACACACACACACACACACACACACACACACACACACACACACACACACACACACACACACACACACACACACACACACACACACACACACACACACACACACACACTCACACAAACACACACACACAAACACACACACACTCAGACAAACACACACACACTCACACAAACACTCACACACACACACACACACTCACACAAACACACTCACACAAACACACTCACACACAACAGAAAAAAACAAAAGCATAATATAAGATATATGTAAATAATATGTAAAATGTAATAACAATGTGTTTAATCCAATGTTTCATCTCAACTATATTTCATAATTGTTACTTTAATTTGACAAACTTAAATGGGGCCTTTTTTTAAAACAGTATCAAGCTGCAGTAAAAGTCAACGCCCACGTTTACTTCCTGAGTGAAGACGAAGATGTTTGTGTTCATGTTGTCATCAGATGCAAAGATTTGACATGAAGAGTTGATAACGGCTCAACACATAAGAGACACAGACTGCTCTGACACGTTTCAAAGTGTTGCTCCTCCCACTTTATTTCATGTGAGCTAAACTAAACCCAGTTCAGACTGGGAAGTCCTTAAAGGGACAGTGTGTTTGTGTCCCTTCTGGGCTCCTGTAGGAACCTGGCAGACTGAAGCCCCATAAATGCTTCACACTGCAGCTTTATTTGCATTTTTTGACAAAGAGTAAATTCAAACTAACAGCCCAGTTTTCAAACTACAAAAGCTTTTTTAATCTCTAACTGATCTAGCTGATGTCCATGCTCTCCGCAGGGCCCGGGGCCCCTCCCTCCCCCCCCTGGACGCTCTGGTAGATGGACGCCATGTCGGCGTTGGTTCTGATCTGGTTGGCGAAGTCGGCCATGCTGGGGCTCCGCTCCACCTCGGGCACGGCCAGCAGGGCGGCGACGGCGCGCATCGCCGAGCGCCTCAGCTCCTCCTGCTTCTCAAACTCCTGCTTCACGGAGCCGGCCTTCACCTAAAGCGGAGGTGTTGTATTCCAGAACTCAATAAAACATGCAGTTCATATTTCAGATATAAATATGATAACATTTGATCTGTGTCTAGTTTGCATCGATGCCACTCAGCAGATTCCCAATGGAGCTCAGGTGAAGAGCCAGATCTGTGATATTGAGCTCTAAATGAAAGAGACTTGATCTTGTTACTGTTGTTGTTTGCAATGATACATGTGTGCTCACACAACTACGGCAAGTATCAGAGGTCAAAACGGACAAAATCCTCTACTCTGGTGTTTACATGAATCATCTGTGAGCATGGATGAGTGACCCCTACAGGCGGTACCTTGGTGGTGCAGGTGGCTTTAAGAGGCTCAATGAGTCGGTCCAGTCGCTGGAGGACCGCTGCAGGACTCAGAGAGGCCAGTCTGGCTAACATCAGGAAGGTTAGCATCTACACACACACACAGACACACACACACACACACACACACACACAGAAATATACATATTCATATACTAATTATGATAATTTGACAGAAAAAGTCTCGCAGCACAACATGCTGAAGTGAAGACGTGACGGATGTAAAGTGCAACATGGGTGGATGATGGATGCATACAAACATCTGAACTCTGAACTCAAATGTATTACTTATGTTTATTTGACGTATGTCTGATATTTGATCAGAGTTTGTGGAAGCTGGCGCGTACTTTGAGCCTCCGCCTTCAACAAAACGTACCAAATAAATAACGCTCTACTTGCTCGCTTGATTCTAATTTTCGAACTGGAAAAAACATTCTGGATATTTTGGCAACTTGATCAAATTTCTATG